ATTGTAATCTGCAATCTAAATTGCATCTAAAGTGTATAACATTGCACGAGAGATACATGTATAAAATTCAAAAATAAGAAGTAAACAAAGAATATAGGGCAAATATCGACAAAACCAGCAAAAAAATTCAAGTATTTTGTTTAAGCTTGGCAACGCTGGAATAATTTCGATTTTATTTTATTGTTCAATTTTATTGAATTCTGCTCACGTTGTTCATCAGTTTAGTCAAGAAACATTCTCTTAATCCGAAAACAAGACACGTAGGACAAAAACCGCGAAAAGCGCCAATTTTGGTGACTTTTTTTCAGTTTGCTGCTTGTCGCGCGTTTAACTTTGCTGTGAGCAGAAATAATTTAACACAGCTAGTGAATAGTTTAACAAGTTTTAACTGTAGAAAAAATCACTTTTGTCGTCTGATCAAATCCTGGGAAGTTACTGGCCATAATCCGCAAAAAGGCCAATTTAAGCCATTTTTGCCAAATTTGTCAACTTTTGGGCAACAATTTTTTTAAACGTTCAAATTTGGATTCAGCGCCAAAAATTACATAGGAAACCATTGAATTGTTGTTACCCGGTGTTTTTGGAGGCTAAAATTTCTGTCTGCCTGGACTCAAGAAGCGTCGTCGCTCCATAAAGCTGTTTACAAAAATTATGATACCTCGCAAACAAAAAATTTCCTTGCAAGCTATAATATATCGATGGATGCGGAATCGAGCGAATTATCGACTAGACAACTTTTCATTCAAATCAAAAGATAGCCTTTTTGGATAATTGAGGATTTGTAAAATTTGTCGAATTTAAACATCGAAAATTTGGCCAGAATAATGCATGTTAAAATTAATGCAACATTAAAAACATGGTCATTTCCTAAAATTGCGCAATTTTTAGAGAATTTTTGTTAAAACCGCAACTTCATGGCTCAATTCTAATGCCACTTACGGTATTTGCCTGCTTTCAACTTGGCAGCGCTGTAGCGCGCGGGAAGAATTTTGGGTGAACTTGCCAAAGCCAGAAAAAGGCGTGTGTTGTGATAGAGAACATCATATCCAACTCCGGGCAAAATCCAAGAGGGGGGCTAAATCGCCGATTTTGAATAACCCTCTTTGAATCGCTATTTTCAAGTTCCGTTTGCTGCCATGCTTAGAAAAAACAATCACCACTCTACTCCCGCGCCACTACAGATTTTGAGTTACGGACCAAATTTTACGATGTAGCAATAAATATTCTCTGATTGAATAGAATAAAAGTGATGCTTCCTACAATACTTACTTGTTGATAATGTCTCTATTCTTGCTGACTTTAATTTAATATTTTTATCATTTTCCTTCTTTTTTCTTTAAATTTCCTTATTTTACATGAGCCTGTTTTATGACACGTAAGGCACAGGTGCGTACCCCTCTCCCGTGTTAGCAATTCCTCTCCCGTTAACATCTATACTGTCGTTTTAATCCTTGTTTGCGCTTACGCCAGAGTTGGCCGCCCAAAAGTTCCAAACCTTTAATGTTGTTTTGAATTTACCATCATTATTAGTTTAACTATCGATTCCTCCGACGCAAAAATACCCGCTCCCCGAGCTGCCGCCATTACACTTGGGGCAGGTAAATCGCAAAGGAACCCCGAAAAAATCGGAAACTTTTGTATGGTGATAGGGTAAATTGTAAACTCGGCGTCGATGGATCCCTCTCTCTCAAACTACTGATCATATCAAACTGCTGGCAAATCAAATCCTAGGATGCAGTTAGCGATCGCAGGATGGCGTTGGCGACTTCGTTTTAGAGAGTGAAGAGCTGGAGCAGGTCTGAGCGGTGCTAGAACGAGCGGGAGCGCTAGGCAGTGCCGGAACGTGTGGCCGCGAGACAGTGTCGACGTGCGGTGAAGCATGGTGCCGGAAGTTGGCCGTTATATAGCGCCGTGCGCTAAGAGCGGGAGTCAGTGGGAGGCCAGAGCGGTGAGCGCGGCATAGGAGAACGTTAGCGACTGTAGGAAGACGTTAACAACTTTAGATGACGTTAGCGACTTTAGGATTATTGTAGGTTAGATTACGTTAGGAGGGTTGGTAAGGTAGGTTAAAAAAGGTTTTACGTAGAAAAATATTGCATAGTTACCTCTCTCGACATGTTTGATTATGAGAATCACTCTAACATATTAAATATCAAGTCGAAGATTTAAAAACGTACTGCATTTCGAAGTGGAGGTAATAGGTTAAAAGAGCGCCAAATACCAACTATGAGATTTGCCGGCAGTTTGACAGAAGGATGAACAATAGTTTTGAGAGATCCATCAACGCCAAGTTTACAATTTATCCTAAGTATCACTATCCAACAGTTTCCGATTTTCTTCGGGGTTTGTGATTTACCTGGTTTGCGGTCTATACTCGCATCGCAACTTTCCTCATAAGTGTGACGTTCCATTTCGCAATATTTGTAAAAACCCTTAAATGTACAGATTTCGCCATTCGCTGTCCTTTCGTTTATTTTTACGTGAGTGTATGCATGAATACAATGAAAATTGCCGTCACTTTGTATGCGTGGAGTATCTGTCAGCTCCACATTGCAGCCCCATCTATTTGCGCTCTTTGTAGAAAGCAGGGATGGGGAGGGGGATCTGTTTGCCCTCCTAATATTTATTTAATTTTTACTTCAATTAAGTTGTTTCCTCTGGAAATGATATAATATCTTCACATGATTGATGGAACATTTGCTACATTCATTTGACCTTTTAAGGGATGGTGTTGCATGGAAACTCAACTCTGCAAATGTTACCATTTTTTAAAATTTCATACCAAGCCGTGTCAAACTCAAAGATGACCGAAAATTTTTAAACAACGCACCGTTTTATACTTTAAATTTCATGTACTTTCACGTAGTTACAGTGATTCATTGATCAGACACTTCTAAAATGCGTACGAATTAGGAAAATGGAGCTAAAAGCGGCTTTTTTTCTAAAAAAGGTCATTTTTGATCTCGGAAGAAATTTTCCTACTGGCGAATATAAGCACATACTTATAAGGATGGTGAACACACTTATCTAGATCAAAATGTAACGTACTTTTCAGTTACGCCGTTTATTTAAACGTTGAAGCTGAATCAGAATGGGTCTTTTTTCAAGGCTCCTTTGGAAATGAATTTTCCGGATCAATTTGTTAAGTTGTTAAAGTTCTCTCAGAATAAAGACGGGATAGTAACAGAGCCCGTATAGAAATGAAACTCTAAATTCATCATAGAGAACAAGTGGAGAAAATAATATACTGAAATGAAAAGGGTTCTGAAATTAGTAGGAGCGTAGCCTTAGGCGGGCGTGCCAGTGGAAGGAAACAGCCTTAGACGGGCGTGTCTCTTAATGCATGAGTAAAGCAGCCTTAGACAGGCGTGCCTTTTAAAGCATTGAGAAAGCAGCCTTAAACGGGCGTGCTAGAGCAGCCTTAGACGGGCTTGCTCGCTGTGAGTGCTTTGAACGAGAAAAAGCAACTGAACTGAAAGTGGCTCCTGCCGCGGTATTTATAAGGGTGGTTACATAATCATGAAAGGAGGCGTGATGTAATTACATAATCGGTGATAACTGGCCTGGCAGTTACGCAACTGGTTATACAACCGCTTATCATGTCCCGGCCTGATTATGCAACCATTAAGTGAAATAATAAAATCATTAAATCCTTGGCGTGTCGAATGCCAGGAAACAAACAAACTAGAAATTTAAAAGAAAATACGAATCTCATAATTTGCATGCCCAGTTTGGGCAAAATAAACACAAAATTGACTCTTGTCCCATTCAGAAGCTCTTCTTAGTCGATCAAATCTCACAAATCCTAAAATGTTAAATTTTATCACAAATTTTTTACATAAAAACAAAATTCAGTGTTAAGACCCCTCTAAAAGGTTTTATGGCAAACTTGATCGACCCTAATTTACAGAGAATTTCATAAACTTTTTAATGCGCACCTTGTTTTCTTTATCAAACGCCTTTTTGCACGTAAAAAATGAGAAAAAACGTGGGAAATTTTTCCTCCAGCAAATTTCAATTTTGTTCAACTTTGCCCTCGCATTCTCTCGAGAGACACCAATAAGATAAATGAAGGTACTTACATTCCTGAAATACAATTTTACAAGCTTTCGAATGATTACCATGGTTTGATAAGAAAAATTGTTTGCAGCCATGAGAAAACACAAAAACCTCAGACAGAGCCTTGTAATTGAATTTGTAAGTTTTTGACGTCTCAAAAATTGGCTTATAAGTACACTTAAATACCTTAAAAAATTTATTCATTAACATTGTTTCAACTTTCATGTGCTATTACACTGGTACCAAAAAATTTACTCCAAACAATAAGTACCAAACTTGATTTTGGGTATATGTTAAGAAAGTTGTTCTAAAGCGATCAGCCAGGTTTTCCGATAGACAAATTTAACGCCATATTTAACCCTCTTTAAAAAGTTCACAGTATCCATTTCAGGTATGAAATTATTAGGAAATTTTACGTTTTAAACGTTTATAACCATAGATAAATCATATTTTTAGTTTCCAACTTTCAAAAAGCCGAAAATCGTTGAAATTCTAGAATTTCTAGAGAAATCATTTCTCAGCGTGATTCCCGTAAACACGCTTTTCAGTCGCATCCTGTAAAATTGAATGGAAAACCAGTGTTGTATTCGTCCTCAAAATTGTATTATCTATCTGAAAAGTACATATGAGTTGTACTATTGTCGAAAACTAATTGATCGAAATCGCTGCAAACGGAAAAAACAGCTAAATTTGTTGTTAAATGTTGACTTCATGCTTTTGAATTATTCGCCTCACAATGAGGCCATAAAATATAAAATGGTAAAACGGATAAGTGTTCCTATGTAAAATGTATCTTTATCAAAAGTCATATCGGCTGAAGAGAAAGTTCGAAATTTTGGTGTCGTTTTAAGTGTAAATTTCCAAGATTAAACTCCAAAATACTTGTCCAAGTATGTTCAAAATGTTCAATGTAAGTCTAAAAGACAATTCATTTTTTTCAGCTGCGAAGTGACATTTGGAGAAAAGAAAGGATGAAGCTTGATTTCATTTTGAGCTCATCGCAGCCCTAAAGGTATCTCATTGGAACTGGTGCCTGAAGAATATGCTTAAATCTGGTGATAAGTATATTTTTGACAAGTGACTCAGAGAATATATAAAAAAAAAAAATGGAGACTGTAAGTGAACTCTCTTGTAACAGTGGTGTTCTCTTCTATGGGTGTCAATTCTGCTCCAAAGTTTTTCCGAGGAAGACCAGCTTGAATCGTCATGTAAGAGTATGTTCTCGGAATGATAATGCCAATAAAACTCTTGCCAAATGTGAAGTTTGTGGTCGGCCGTTTAATCGAATAGATAATCTGAAAAAGCACTTGAAAAATTGCACAGCTAGGGTGACACAAAACAAGCAGATGAAAAAGCGAAGTTGCCTGTATGAAAACTGTGAAGCTAATTTCTACCAGAAAGAAGCCTTGATTCAACATCTGACCAATATTCATCGTCATAATTTCGAAGAAACGTCCCGTTTGAACTTTCAATCATATGAAGATTTTATTAGCTGGAAAAAGCAAATTGAGGAAGAAACATTTGCACATTTCATCAAAGTCAATGGCAAAAAAGGCGCTGTTCAATATTTTTACTGTCAGCAAGATGGTGAGAGAGATAAAGTACAGTGCAGAATAAATTACTCAAATTTTAAGGATCAAACGAAAACTGGAAAAACTTGCATTGCATACATGAAACTAATTGAACTAGAGGGAACTAGTTTTGACGTATTATTTCAGCCCATGCACTGTCATCTACTTAAACCAAGAGAAACGAGTCAAAAATATGCCGATGAAGCTTCAGGTGCAGAAGAAAAGCCAGCAGTGGCAGAGTCTGTTGAAGTAATTGAAGTAACAGAGTTATTGGATGATACATTAATAGACGTTGAAAACCACGAGGATTTGTTACTGGTAGAGAGACTGCCAGATAACGAGACAACGGTCATTAATATTGTTCAAAATTGTCTCAGGGAATGTGATAGTCCTGTCATTCTATATAAATCTGATAATCCAGAGGTTTACGTAGGGCCGGAAGAATTTCAAGATATGTCCGTTATGGCTGATACTTTTATCCTCGGCATCCAAACGAAGGAGCAGCGCGAAATGTTCGTCAATGGCTGTCAAGTGGCTCTGTCACTCGACACATCTTACCGTAATGAAGGGAGATCGTACCAAATTTTGAACTTGGTAGTACCAGATGAGAAAATGAATGAGTATCCAGTTGCTCATCTCATCACAAATAGTATGAGCTCATCAGTTTTGAAAATCTTCTTTTATTCGATTCTGTTTCACTGTCAAGATGTAACAATAAATTGCATAATTTCAAATAACGATCCCGAATTGAATGAAGCAATTCAATCTGTTTTTAGCGAGAATGTGCGGCATGTGTTTTGTATTTGGAAGACTTACAAAGACTTCTTGCTGAACCTTTCACAGTTTGCGCCTGAAGAGCTTCACTATGAAATGTTTCAAGCTTTACAATCTGTAGCTCATTCTGATAATGAAATTGTTGCCCGTAACATATTAGAAAATTTCAAAGAATTGTACTCTGAACTTTCGCCGAATTTTTTAGAATTTCTGTCAAATTATGAAAATCATTTGAAAAAATGGATGCTGTGTTTTAGAGATTTCAACAATTCTGGCATCAATACAGTAATGCTCAGCGAGGCTTACCACAACAAAATATTAAAACACATGAGGCGGAAATCAAAGTGGAATTTGGAAGACTTCATTAACCTTCTACTTGAGCTTGAAGAAGACGACTACCTCCGAAGAGCGAACGAACAAATCCTAGGGGTTTCTTTCGGTTTGAGCGATCCTGGAAACAGTCGCCATGAAGAAGGGGTCCTTATTCCTGACGATGCAGTTACTTTCTTGTTTCAGGATCATTGGGAAATAAAGTCGAGTACCAACATCAGCAAGTTTCATCTGGTAGTTCGTGTAAATCATGAGTGCACAGCTGAATTGTGCTACAAAACATGTTCTCACTGCCACGAGCTTTGTGGTCACCTATACTATTGTACATGCACTGATAAGCACCCCATGTGCAAACACATTCACAAAGTTCATTTATTTTTTATTGGCTCCCAGAAAACTACTTGTGAATTAATTGGACCATTAAAGCCATTCGATGGAACAAAAGCAAAGCCAGTTATTGTTGGAGGATTCAACCTAGCGAAAACCAAAAGCTCTCAAGATCCGTGTGAAATTCCTCGGAAAGTCGAAATTACTGGTCTTTTAAGGGACTTGTCAAGCTTACTTTCTGACAAAGACTTATCATTAGCATCTCTAAAGTCTACAGATGAAAGACTAAGAGAACTTGTCGACCTGTGTAAAGTATCCGTCTTAGATTATCAGAGGAACTTATAGCATTTTACGAGCACACAACGTTCGGATTTCTGAGAGAGCTAGTTCATAAGGTTTAAATCAGGATGTTGTTTAGTCAACGTAAACTTACACAAAAATCTACCAAGCTTGTATCTTTTGAGAGGTTTTTGAAGGCAATGCCTTTCAGAATTGAGTATGCCCCTGTGAAATACCAAAAAACCCGCACGATCCTAATGGGGAATCTCCCTCCGGTTAAATCTGATGAAACTTGGGTATATTTTATTTTTTTTTTTTTTTACTACTACTTCAAATACCACACAATCCTTGCGCTTCCAGTTAGAGCCCCTCCCCCCTCCATTCCTACCATGTACCAGCCCAAGGCAACCGTTGTTTGAGACCATCAAACTCGGGTCGCCTAGCCGGGAATCGAACCCGGGACCCCCTGATTGTAGAGCCAGCGCCACAACCACTACACCACAGGAGGCCGACTAGCCCAACTAGTCATTCTAATCAAAAGCTTTCATGGGCTGAAAGAGATCCCATGTGCAGTCTTCGAAATGTTTGCCGTTTTATTTGCGTGAACGGAGCTCCCGCCGGCCGGACTCTTGTGCAGCGCTACTCGTACCCTTCTCCTCCAGTCCACTCCGGCCCCTCTTCGCTTCCCCGCCACCCATACCCAAAGCTCAGATTCCGACGCTCACGAGGCTGTGCCTATCATCACCAGGCCGTGTGATAAGACGGCATGCGGTGCGGCCCGATGCGATGATGGTGAGCAAAGCCTCGTGAGTCCGCGCTGCGGGTACGTGTGGGGCGGAAGCGGTGAGGGTCCGGAGTTGACTGCAGGCTGATTATTTACATGCTGCATCTATTGACCACGGTAGACGTGGGTTGAGTATCTACGAGACAGAGATTCCAAGCGATTCAGAACTAATCTCAATAGATGCAGCCATACATCTATTGATAGATGCGGATCCCCCAACCCTCAGGCACAAGATGCAGTGACATCTATTAAAACTGTGCTTCTAATTGGCCGACCGGTAGTGCCGCGGCGGGATTCGAACCCACAATCGCCTGGATTGGTTACGACTGAATATCGACGCTGCTGTCCACTGCGCCGCAGCTGCTGATAGGACGAGGTTGAGTCAAACGCAATAAATGTTTTCTTCGGAGGTCAGGGTTCCTATGCGCTTCTTCTTCTTCACTCGGAGAATCGAGTTTTCTGCTCGGTTAGAACGAATATTTTTCTCTCAACGCAATCGTTTAACACTGTATTCCAATTTTGCTGATCTGTCTCTTATCTATCGGGTGAAATCACAGTGTAGAATCGCAAAAAGTTTGATCATAGATGCGCCATAGATCAGATTTGCAGATCTATAGCCGGGATCTATGAAAGTAAATAATCAGCCTGCTGGAAGGGAAGGGCACGAGTAGCGCTGCACAATGGTCCGGCCGGCGGGAGCTCCGTTCACGCATGTAAAACGGTGAACATCTCGAAAATCGCACAATGGATCTCTTTCACAGCCCATGAGAGCTTTAGGTCAGAATGACTAGCTCGGCAACATATCCAAGTTTCATCAGATTTGACGTGGAGAGATTCCCCTTAAGGATCGTGCGGGGTTCTTTGTCTTTTATGCTCTCAGTCGCTCAGTAGATCAGATTAGATTTAACACCTGGGGGACAATCACAATGCCCAAAATACGGAAAATCCAAGGAGTTTATTGTGATTAGTTGTCTGTTTAAATTACACGTGCCCCCCGAGGAGGTGCAACAGAGCCAGTCGCTTATACTGCAAGTAAAAATCACAATGAAAGATTTCTTTAAAATATTTTCTCCCCTTTGAAAGTGCATCAGTATTCAAGATAATTTTTTTTTTTTTTTTTTTTTTTTTTTTTTTTTTTTTTTTTTTTTTTTTTTTAAAATGCTCTTTTCAAATTTAACCGAAAGTTTGTTTAACCAATTTCTGTAAGGGCACCCAAGAAAATTGTTTTCCACAACAAAAATAAACAATGAATACTTGTTTTTTTTGCTTAAAACATTCCTCAGATTAATAGAAGAGTTATCAATGCCACGGAATTTATGTTTTTTAATAATAGACAATGATTAACACGATCAAAAGCTTTTGCTAGGTCAACATGAAGGCTACTGCGGGCAATCGTTGTTCAAATGGATGATAGATTTTACAAAAGATCTGTTGAATCGCCTGTATGATAGGTACTAGCCGTTCTGGGCGCGCTTCGCGCGCCCGTCACGTCTAGCCGGGGGGCTGCGCCCCCTGGACCCCCGGTCACTCGCTACGCGAGTGACATTCGGCTCGCTTCGCGAGCCGATTTTGTAGTGGTTGCGAATTTTTTATCACTTTATTAAGAAGATTTCATAAAAAACATTATTAAATTTGCACTCCACAATTAACTTGTAGAATAATAATGACGGGGCAAGAGATAGACTGTATCTTGAAATGGACGGTTCCCACTTAGCAGAAACAGCCAACACCACGAGTAAGTGAGGAACCATCTTTAGCCACTTTTTTTTTTACTTTTCTGAAAAATATTACTGAAATTTTAGTTGCGCTTCCTTAAATGATAAGTATTAATATAAATTTCCCTTTTTTACAGTGTTGTTAAAATAATAAAAAGTTACCCAGCGGGAAATTTCATTTATATTCCCGGTGGGCCTGCTACTCAAAATTTGATTTGCCGTTATTCAATTGAGCTGGGCCTAAGAAATCCCACAAAACCCATTAAATTTACATTGACAGGTCGAAAGTTCGTCTTATGACGCACAATGTTAAACAGCGAATTTATTGTGTCGCCAGACGACACGTCCTGCAATACGTCATCATTGAAGCTGGATTCATGCTTATTTTATCAAAAATATCCTCAGAGAACAAAGGATAGGAAAAGAAATATTAGAACAGAAAGGAAAAGAAAAGACAGAAAAACGCAGAAGAGATTCAAGAAAAGCACAGTATAACAGAGAAAAATATATAGAAAAATAACAAAGAAAATGACTCCACTAGGGTAATCTGAGCTCAGCTGCGTGTGAGCATGAGCAAGATAAAA